TTCCAAATTCTAAAGAGGATAAAACATTTGTCAAATCTCCAGGAACTTGATACCTTATTGTAAACACTGTTTTCTCCTTCAGGACTCTAGGTGAGGATGCAAGCAAGGTATGATGTCATTCTAGTTGTAGTTAAAAAAAAAAAAAGAAAAGGAAAAAACAGCAGATGAAGAGTTCCTCATCTGCATATTTTTGTCAGTTATCCATGTAAATGTCACTTCATGAGTATAAAAACCATAAGCCTCCCCTACATAAAAGCCTCTCATTCAGTAGGATTTATTTTTCATTACTTGACTGAATAGATTACTCCATTACTCATATTTTCTGTTTTCTCCATTTTGCCTCATGTAGAACTCACCTCAGAATATTATCTCCTACAGAAATGTTCCCAATTGACGGCTTTAATAAACAGCACCACATACAGAAGTGTTTCAAGCTGGAAGGTACCTTGGAGAATGACCTTTTTCCACTTTCATTTCACAGATGATGAGATTGGGGTCAGACTAGATGAAGTGATTTGCCTGCCTAGGGTCAAACACTGGATAGAGGAAGAATCAAAAAAACATAAGATGAAACGGATTTTTCCTTTTGTCTCTATACAATATTGTTCATTCGACAAACATTTATTTATGTGACAGGAACTGTTTGAGGAGTTGTGAAGCCAAGCGAGGCAGCCCTAGGCACTCTACTGTTCCTGCTGTTTATGATTCTGCAAAGATTTCTCTCCTAGGTGTGTGCAGTGGGATGTCCTGCTGTATCTTTTGTTATGGTTTCATTACTTTGTGCATTGATAGTGCCCTTATCTTTACTCAGCCCCAATTAACTTCTCCCAAGTTACCCATTTAATTAATTCCTAGCCTCCTTTCCAAGGTACAGAGTGGCTCTTCCATTCTTCCTCATTATCATCCCCCATTCTGAAATAATTATTTTGAGTATAATGAAAATGTTAAACATGGTTGAGCCCAGTGTGTGATTATTGTAACTCCAACAGCCAACAAATTTAATATTTATTGACTTGTAAAGTGTCATAACAACAAAGCAAGTAGCTCGTTCATTGTTACCCCGTCATTTTTCCTTCTTGTTATAATAGATGGATGGATGGATAGATAGATAGATAGATAGATAGATAGATAGATAGATAGATAGATAGATAGAAAGTAAAAACATGTTTCTATCATAACTAGGACAGGCTGATAGACATAAGCATCATAAATGGTCAAAAATGGTCAGACAAAGAAGAAGAGAAGGAGAATAGAAAAGTTTTCTTGTTCTAAAAAATCTTTTGTAAACAAAATCAACATTGGAGCATTTATGCCTTTTATATGGACCTACAAGAAGTACAATAGGTGCCGACCATGATGGCAGTTATTTAGAAAGCATTTCTTGTTTTGTTTTATTTTGTTTTGTTTTGTTTCATTTTGCTTTGCTTTGATTTTCATGACAGGGTTTTTCTGTGTAGACCTGGCTGTCCTGGAACTCGCTCTATATACCAGGCTGACATCGAAAGATATCACCTGCCTCTGTCTCTGGAGTGCTGGGATTAAAGGTGTGCACCACCACCACCCAGCTTTGAAAGCCTTTCTTAGTCCACTTCTTTACTTGATAGATTATTTAATTTTCGCTCTCCAATACTTTCTATTACTATATAAAAACATGTTTATCTTCTATAATTATAAATAAAACAAAATTATACTTAGTGAACAAACTAAAAATAGCCACAGTTCTTTTTAATGACATAGAAGTAGTGAAAATGGCATCATTCTGTGTTAGTTAATATGCTTTAAGAGTAGTTTCATAGTCTATTGTTGGTCATGTTTGGTTCTCTATAATTCTAGACTCTTAACAAAAAGAGCACGAACAATTCAAGTCCTCCTGTGCCCTTGTTTGGACTCACCAATTGTTTGCACTAATGTCTTGCATTATTGTTCTCTTGCTCTCTTTCTCTGTACATGTGTGTATATGTCTGTACATCTAAGTAAATACGCATAGACACTGTCTAGTTTTACAATAGACTTGAATTGTTTATGATATGTATCTCTAATCAAAGTCCTATTTACAAAATTAAACAACATACAATATACCTTAGTTATTAATAATTCTACAAATGGTTTAGTTTTGTTTTTGAAAGATACACACACAATATATAATCCATACATCTATTATCTGTTGCATATATTTAGCTACTATATTTTCAACTACTTGAATTTGCATTGAGGACTTGAAATTTCAAAACATCTTAGTTTATTGTATATTTGTGTGTATTTTCTGGGATTGGGGTATATTCTTACATTGCAGAGCATAGTTATCAAAGATGGGCATTATCTGACACATGACCTTTGCCTGATTTACAATCCATGCTTCAACTTCACCTATAGCAATAATGTCATTGGCAGCTAGCTGTTCCTCATAGCCCCGCCTTTGATCTTGGACCTAATCTGGTCATACAATGTGTTCAGTTTATTTACTTGTTTGTTTGTTTATTTATTTATGTATCTAAAAGCTTACATGCACTTAGTCAGTAATGACCTGGATAACGTCCTGTTTTCTAGCAATATCTGCTGGCTGCTGGTTGTTGCAAGAATGCAAACATGAGCCAAAAGATTTCTAAGCAAATCCCTTAGGATTAGAAAAAACTGTGCTAAGAGCCTTACTACTCAGCCTTACAACTGTGTCCTGGCCGTGAGTTTTAGCATTTCTGTCAGATGGGGTCTAAAAGAGAAGGCTGGGAGTGTATCAAGATTTTACAGTTTTCACAGGGAAAGCTTTGGGATCGGGCTTCTGCTGTGAGCATCTGCTGAACATAGATCTAAAAAGATGGCATTTGTATAGAACCTCCTTGCAAGATTGTATATTGTGCTCTCGCTCTGACCCTACATGAGTATCTAACAGGATGCCATGTTAGGGAATGCTTAGTTAACTATCTATAGAAGAACAAAGACTTAGGATTCTATAACATAAAGTTTATGCTGATTAAATATTAATTTTATTGTCATTATTGAAAATAAGCATATTCTAAAAAGCTTTTGAGCTGCCACTTGAAATCTCCAACATAAAAATTACTATGGATGATTCCCTGCCTGTTTAAATAAAAGGCAAAAAAAATAAAATATTTACAGTGTTTCTGGTGTCTAAAGCATTTTGTGGTTTGGCTTATTTTGTACATTATCGTAAGAGCTATAAGTTATGGATAGCTTGCTGTCTGTCTACATCTACCAATAATAATCTGGGAGTATCCTTTCCTCTTTTTCAAGCCTACCTAGATGAAAATAGCAATAAAACCTCATCAGTTTTATTGGCTTTGAGTATATCTAATATTTTATAAAAATTTATAAACATAGCAAAACAGACATTATTTTTTTAAAGTTCCAAGCCAAGTCATAAAAGAAACAAGTCTCAATAAAATAAATTAACTGAGTGAACCTAGTGGTTTACTTCCATCAACATGTAGATAAATGGTGAGCAGCCCACAGCAATGATGTAGCCTGTTTTTGTTTTACTTTTTCCCTGTGGATTAAAGAGAAGGCATTTATACATGAAACAGACTGTAATTGGCTACCATAAAAATACTGTATACACCCACATTCAGAGCACGGGTTAAGTATAAAACAGTCTTTTGTTTCCTACAGTAGAGCAAGCTTGCCCATTTATCCTAGTGACAGATATGCATATAAAACCAAAATGAAACCAAAGCCCTGTAGAGAGCATAAGTCACCAAAGCTGTTTAATCCTTTCATAGCATCCCTTAGGGAAGCCTGACCCTCTGTGAGTAATAATGTTAAGTACGTATAACATCAAATCTTCTCTTGTATTTTGACAGAGCGCTGTTTTTTTCCTATCACATTTTCCAGTTTCTTATAAAGTGCTGCACATCACTGCCATTTTAACATGCATACACATAGAATCTTGTTTTAGGTTTCACATCATTAAAATATGGCAATTGGGACAATCTACTGAGATTTTACATAAAATGGACTGTGGCTTGAAATTGTATGTTAAGAGGGAGCCAGGTAAATGTAAGTGATTTTTAACATCAATGTAGCTCATGAATTTTACTAGAAAACAGTTGAGTTTCAAGCAGAGATGAAATGAAAGCAGCCCTTGGAGACTAAACAGATGCAGTGAGTGTGGCTTAGAAGGTACAGCTGTCACTTCAGATCTGTTCCACTCAGCACCTCCATGAGCCAGGAGCGGGAGAGGCTGTCACCATGATATTTGCATCGTTCCATTGAACAGACCAGGGTGGTTATGGGGCACCTATTTTTAAATGTTTTGTTGTTTCTTGGTTTTGAACATCCACTTTCTGAGAACTAAAAATGACGAGAACTTGGAGTGGAAGGTACTTTTCCCCAGTACCATTAAAGTTTCATTTATGAGTTTTTAGCTGGTCAAACCAAATCAGAAATTCTTGATTGCATTACATTATTTACTATATTAAGGCAGTTCTGGTATTGACTCTTGGGAAGGACATTAAATTCTTATTCTCTGAGACTAACTTGAGTGCAGTATATTTAATATGCTTATGTGTGCTTACTGTTATCCTAATATTTGATGGGCTTTTATATCTGTATACATGTGTGTTTATAGATTTATCCAATATGCTAGAATAGGATTAGGTGATATCTAAACCATTATTAAAGTTTGAAAAATAGAAAAATAGTCATGATGTATTGTAGGTTTTCTAACTCCAGGAAAATATGTAAGATTTTAGGTCAAACTTTCTTACTTTCATTTTTAAAACACTCTATAAGGAGCACAATATTCTAACTTACATTATTCAAAATGACTATGTAAATTATCGACATAATCCCGATCAAACTCTGAAATCATTTAAAGCTCTATTTTCTCCTGCATTATATTGTGCATACAAAATATTCATGATAATGCCATATTTTGAACTTAGATGGATATATTGCAGGAATCTGAATTAGAAATATTTAGAAAGTTAATGTCCTATTTAAGATGGTCTCAAGTGATTATCATATGCATTCCTTTTTCTTTTTAGATTGAAGAAAGGCAATTCTGAAAGGAACAAAAAGTCCCAAATATTCCAGAATACCCCAGCAGAACAGTAAGTGCTTTAATGTCAAAATAATTACACCAGACTTTCTGCAGAATTAGATCATCTTTTGCACAAATATTTACCTTCCTAATTTTTAAGATTAGAAAACCAAGTAGCAAGTAAGCGGTGCCTTAGAAACTCAATTTCGATTCACTGGAGTCCACTGGAAATGATTTATCCTATAATCCTCTTAGATAAATGGGCAGGTAATCTGTGTGATACATCTCTGGTGCTGAAATATTTAGGTTGACTCAATACATTTTTGAGTAACATTGAATCATTCCAAAGGGAAAGAACTGGGATAATGTAATAAGCACATTACATTAGTTTACTTTATGTGATACAAATTTATTCACTTTAGAAAAATTTAAAAGGTTAATGTGGTTGGCCTATTTACTATCATTAAACAGCATTATGTAAAATAATAATATAAGAAGTTTTAAATTTTTTTAGTTTTTTCTCATTCTTCTTCTTTCCAGTTTTCTCAAGACTTAACTATGAAATATATTTTCTTCTTTAGCTGTGACTTTCTACCAGTAATGTTTTCTAAATATATTTTTATTGACCAGAATTATGTATATCTTGATGTCATCATTTGGTGATAGATCGGCAACATCATAAAGCACACTGAGAGGCAAACAACTATAAAGTTTGAATATGTGAATATCAAAATCGGTAGATAGAGATAGAATGTCAGAATCCACACTAACGATCCACATCATATGACTTCAATAGTGTGGTTGATTTGAAAAGAGCTGAAAATTGTAGTTCTTCAAAGATCCAAACAGGGATGTCATCGTTTTTCAGATCCCTAGCTGTAACCTCACTGTGAAAGTTATCAATGACCATTTTTACTTACCCTGCTTATACACAATTATTTAATCTACTGCCTGAGTTCACTGATCATCTTCTCTGTCTTTTCATTTGTGATTTGCAGTAGGATTTAATTAGATACAATTTGGTAGGTTCACATCCTTATAATGAGATCTATTTTTTTTTTATTTTGAATAACCCTGAAGAAAATTGTTTGTTTTCAAAAAGAGCTTGTGCCTCTTCTTTGTGTATTACTTATGACTTAAGGCAGCTCACGATCTCAGCTTTTGAGTGTCTTCTACTTAGCAAGTGTTCATTTAATTACTCAGAGATAACTTCTAAACAATAAAAAAACTCTGAATCTAATATAAACTTGTATGTTTATATACTTGTAGTTTATTCCACTAATGTACATTAATATATTTATGAACAAAAATACTCTGATTTAAAATGTTAGAAGATAGGTGTCTTTCGTGTATACCTTAGTCTCTAACAGGACTGCTATGTCGGAGTCATCAGTGTACACACTAAAGTATGAGCAGCAAACAAAGGCACTGGTCAGTTCCTGATGTGGACTAAAATAATCCTAACAGAAAGAAGAAAGTTCTCATTGGTTACGTTAAAACTAAAAAGACACATGCAAAGGTTTTAGCGTAGGAGAGTCATACAAACCCCTGTAATACTGTCTTAGCATTCATAGCTAAAGGGGAAGAAAAATCTGATAATTAAAATATTACTAGAAAAAAATGTTGGGTGTGTATGGCATGTATATATTTCACAAAGTTTTGTGATGAAAAGAGAACTCAGAGATAAAGGGCTGTTGAAATAGTTTTTAAATAATAATTTCCCTCGCTTAGCTCTGAGTGCTCAGTAACACTCTGAAGAACATGATAGTCCACACTCCTTGATTACACTAGATAATGATAATAACAACGAGGAGACATCAAGAAATCATTCAGACACTCAGGCATACTCCTTGGGAACTATTCATATCATTCTAGATTTGCTAAATCTCACTAAATACTTGTGGGAGTTGATGTTCCCTCTCAAAGTGCAACTCTTATTAATGGCTTCGCTTTCCTGGGTTGGCAAATGGAATGTGAAGCTTCCATTTTTACTAAGAAAGACTCTCCTCGAAAGAAGACATTAACCAAAACATGTTTCTGTGAATCGTTCTGCGAATAAATATTATTTGAAAATGATCTTCCTAAGTTTCATTGAGTCCAATCTCTCAATATTAGAAGTATTAAATCACCGTTACCAAAACTATAAGCCTCGGTGGGGTTTGAGGGACGTAATGTGTCAGCTAGGGTGTGGTGTGATAGTCCCACAGAGCCAGGAGAAACCTACAGGGGTTCAGGTCTAATAGCCCCATTTACTGATTGCCTCCTTTAATACATGGAGGGTGAGGCAGGCTTTGCTTGAGCTCTCATATCTAGCAACAAAACTGAGGATTCTGGTCTAATTAGCCAACTGACATTCTTTTCTGTGTGTAATATGGACTTAAACTACTTATTTGGAGAGTGATGGTAGATGAGTGGAAGGACAGGTGAAATACAAAGGAACAAGGAGAAGAAAGGGGAGGGGAGGGCAGAGGAGGGCAGCGGAGGGTAAGGGAGGGGAGGAGAAGAGAGGAGAGAGTAAAGAGAGGAGAGGAGAGGGGAGGGGAGGAGAATGGAGAGTAAAGAGAGGAGTCCGGAGGGGAAGAGAGGAGTCGTGAGGAGAGGAGGGGAGGGGAGGGGAGTTGGGAGGAGAGGAGAGGAGAGGAGAGGAGAGGAGAGGAGGGGAGGGGAGGGGAGGGGAGGGGAGGGGAGAGGAGGGGAGAGGAGGGGAGAGGAGAACCATTTATTTGGTGTTTGGTTACAGATAGTCTACTAGACTTGGGATTTATTTCATTTGACTGTAAAACAGATGATGAAAACGAGAACTAAATGCTACACAAAGTTAACCTCCTTTTTAAGCAAGATTAGGCTTAGTGTTAAAAATCAGTCTTTATTTTTCCCTTCTCAAGTTACCCCTCTTAGCACAGACACCTTGCAAAGGCAAAGCTGTTTTCTGTTCTCTATAAATGATGGCACGGTGGGAGTGGCAGGGAAAAAAGAAACAGCTACATTATTGACTTGAAGTAAGAAATGACTTTTTCAGGATTCCCATCTTATTTAACAGTAGTCAGATTACATATTTTTACTCAATATTTTATTTTAAAAAGTCAAAATCTAATTTTAAATTTTTGTTTCTTTCCTTCAGACCTTGCTTAGAAAGGCTCACAAATATTTCCCTGATCTAAGATATTTTGTTTTGAAACACCAGAGAAGTTGTCTTGGACAGTGCTGTTGTAGTGAACTATCTTTGGGAAATTTTCTGGGTTCAAATTCCAGCTACCCCATTCATTAGCTCCGCTATCTAGGGCAATGTAGTAGACCTCTTCACATCTCACTGAGTAACAGATCTGCTGTCTTCTAGATGGTACAGTTAGCACACTCTACATTAGAATTTCTTTCTTATCACAATTACTTGAAAAAAAATCTAGCCTGTTTCTAGAAATGTGTATTTATTTTTTATCTGTACTTCCATTCGTATTTTCTTTCATTCTGAAAAATGTATTCTTCCATGATTCTGTAAGCTTCAGGAGTTGCAATGGAAATATATAGGGAAACTCCTCTAGATATCGCTGTGATTTAAAACGCATGCGTAAAGTTCAAAGTCACAGAGGTTAAGGGAAAAGGATCAGCCTCTGAATGACCAGTTTTGATCCTCTATGATTCAGATCTACTCACTACCCTGCCTGCTGCAGCTCACTATTGGACAGAACTGTTTTCCTTTGTAACTGTAAATGCTTGAACAATTCTAGTCCCATTTCTACCACTTGCTGGCTCTGTGTCTCCAAAATCAGAGTAGAACTCCTCCTCAGTCTCCTCTACCAAAGTGAAAGTAACATTAATTTTATAGGTTTTATATGAGAATGACAAGACCTGTTCATTAACTGCTTATTATAGATGTTCATACAACAGCATCCATAAATAGTAATTTTACAAGTACTATTAAAGTCTCCCTTGGAAATATCAAAGGAGCATTTTCTTTTTTTTTTTTTTTTTTTAGAGTTGTATAACTTTTGGAGGGAGTAAAGGAGGAGGGAGCAATGAAGGAAGAAAGAAGGGGAGGTAGAGGCAGGCTGAAATTCTCTTCCTCCTTAAAGCAAATGTGGATCTTTGATGTGGAAGTGTAGTGTGGCTCCCTTTTATAGTATTCAGAAAGAGGCTCAAGACTGTCTCCTAAGCCCAGAAGTGAGCTAAATCAACAGGCACTAGGAAGCTAAGGGTGACAGAAAGACTTTCTCCCTCATCTCCAGATGATCATTGCATTGAGAATGCTACACACAAATTTGCCTGTCACATTGTTCCAGAGGCAGCAATCCAAAGCAAGGGTCGAGGGTGTTTGTTTTGTTTCTTTGGTTTTTTTCTTATTTTTTCTCATTTATTTTATATAATACATCTAGACCGTATTTTCCCTCCCTCCATTCCACTCGGCTCCTGCAGTACCTCTTCTCTTCCCTAGGTCCCCCCTCCCCCTTTCCTCTTCAGAAAAGAGCCTCCAAGAGATACCAGACCCCTACAGGTATCTGAAGTAAAAACTACAAAAGTATCCTCTCGCCACAACTAGATATGAGATACTAAAATGGCCTATTTTTATTAGTGTGCCCCTGTGAAAAAGAGTATTTACAGATTTCAACATTTGGTATCTCATTAATTATCTTTTTTGAAATCTTTTTATGCCTCTAAAGATCCGTATACCCAGACGTTAAAAATTGCAACTCCCACTTCAACATAAAATAAATTCATGGAAATGTTTTCTATTTATTCCTTGATTTGTAACTTTTTGTGTTTTCCTTATTTCAAAACATATCCAGGTCAGCCTAGGAGCCACTATGGCAACATATGCACCTTGATCTTATGCTTAATATATATTCTTAGTTTTGCCTTTATTCTATTTTTCATTTTCACATGAATCCTGCCAAGATTATTTTTAAGGATTTATACAAAATGTTTTAGGCGGAGGAAAAGATTGTTTAAAGCAAATGCTCAGAACACATTGGCTTGTAACTCATTTGAGACACTAAAGTCATAGTCTATCAATTTTTAGTAGCTTGAGATGTATTGTAAAGAAGAGATCTTAGTGACAGATTTGAGAGTTCTGAT